CCCCAACTCTTCGGGCACTTCGATGGCGTAGAAAGCGTTACTGATGTCACCGCTACTGAACCAGACGACGTCGCACCCCTGCGTCTCCAGCTTCGCAGAGGCGGCGGCCGAGGGCAAGTGCGTTGACGGCGGCGGCATGAAATCGCAAATCGCCAACCTGGTGTCAAGGATGATCCTCTGCCTCTGGTCCTTTTTCTTGACGAAGAATAGACACACCGTTGCAATGCTGTCGTCAACCTCCTCAGCGGGCACAAGGCGAGCCATGCCGCGACTCACCAGTCCAGTCACAAAATCTCCATGCACTCTGTGATCCCGAAATGCAGGGTCTAGATAAGGACGTTGAAGTCCGAGCTCAGACCGCAGGCCAGCCGCTGCAGCTGGAGGTCTTCGCATGTTGGCCGTCTGATCCCTCAACCAGGTAGGGTGCTCGGCTGGTAGCGCGTCGCCCAAGGAGACGGGCTTCGCGCCCGCAGCCTGCCAGGACACAGCGTCCTTGTTGTAGGCCACGACGGTTGTAGCGCACTCGCCATGCATGGCGGCGCTTCCGCAGAGCACACGAAGGCTCCCGTGGCGACGTGCATCAGCAGGACAGGAACCGTCCGAGCAGTAGCTGCGCTCCAGGTGCTCGAGGCACATCTGCTGCGCAGCGCTCGCGGCACCATCGCCGGCCAAATCGCGTCCAGCAAGTGAGTTAAGGGATTGGATGCCGTCGTTGGCCCAGTCAAGAGCATGCCGACGGCGGTGGGCACGACGGGCGACGGCGCGGCAGCCACCACCAGTCTGAGAAGGGACAGGGAGACGAGGCAAGGGGAAGATGTCGCGCTGGCGCACCATCACCTTGCGGCCGAAGATGTGAAGGCCTGCGCGCCCGGGGCCAAGGAGCAGCAGGCAGCCTTGATCAATGAAGCCGTCGTGGAGGTTAGCTGCCCCCCGCCCCCTTGGGCCCCTTGGCCCCCTTGGGCTTGGCAAGCTGTCCCTCCACCCGCGCTTTGCGTCTTTTCTTGGCGAAGGCGCTCTCCCTCGCGATCTGCTCGTTGATCCAGGTTGCGAGAGCCGCGGCCCCCATGAGCCTCCCGCCGGCGCCATTCCTGTACGGTAGTACTCCTCGTCCTGGTGCTCCTTGTTGTTCTGGCGCGTCCCCAGGACGCGATCTCTGTGCCTTTCTTCACAGAGTTGAGGTTGTCTTGAGTCCAGCTCCAGGCTGGCAGAGTTCGTGAGGTCCAGCTGGTTGTGGCACAGCGCCGTGTTGAAGATCTTAGAGTGTCCGTGGCGAGCCGAAGCGATGATGTCATCCAGCCCCAGGCGAATGCTCGACCTCTGCTAGAAGTGGTGACCGAGCACGCTCCCTCCATTTTCCAACATGAATTTTGCCAACCAGTGAGATGTCCTCGCCCCTGGCACCACCCAATCGTTCCAGACCACGGCCCGAAGCAAAGCGGCCCCGGAAGCGAAGGCCCGATGCCGCTTCCCATTGACGTCGTACTGCGCTGCGAGCGTACGGCAATCACCCGAGCCAGCGGCACCATCACTTGCACCGTCGGCTGCGACGGCCAGCGGCCCAACACCCGCTCCAGCCAGCGCCGCGGCAAGCCCAGCGGCACCGTCCGCGACGGCGGCGGCGGGCGCGGGGGCAGCGCCAGCCCCGGCGGCGCCTCCCGCTGCGGCCCCGGGCCCCGCAACCAGCCTGCCTCCAACTGGCGCCGCGGCCGGCGCGGCGCCAGTGGGTGCGCCGATGGCGGCGGGCGCGGCTTCTTCGCCAAGAGCTCCGACGCCACCTCCTCCGGCTGCCCCGGCGCCGGTAACTGCATCTCCCCCTCCTCCGCGCCACGCGGTGAGGCCGCCTGCTGGTCCTCCAGCCATGGCGAGCACGCCGCCGTCCCCCACGGGCGCTGCTGCTCCCCCTGCGCCTGCTCCAGCCGCCCCATCGCCGCCAGCGGTGACCACCGCTCCGTCACCCCCAGCTGCAGGATGCGCCGCAGCGACAGCGTGAGCAGCATCATGGCCAGCAAAGAGCACCCCGGCCTGCTGCGCGAAGGCCTGTAGCTCCGCAGGCGTGAGGGCCGCGGCGAAGTCATACCCTTTGAGCCCTGCTCCGCCAGCGGCTGGCGTGATGTTCCCGTCCTCACGGATGAGCACACGCCCCGTCCCCACGCGGTACCCGTGCCACACGTCGTCGTTGTCCTCGCTGAGCAACTCGACGAGGAGGTCGTGGTCCGGCGAGACCACCGCCGCGTGGAGCACCAACGGTGCCGCAGCCCCCCAGAGCAGGCACCTCTCCAGCTCCGCGCCCAGCTCGCCAGCCAGCGCGGGGGTCGGCGGCGCGGCCGCCGGGCAACTCCGCGATGGCGGAGCGGCCGCCGGCGCCACAGCCGGCGGCGCGGCGGCCACGGGCCGCGCGGCTGGAGGGCTGGCGGGGCCGCGGCTGGCCCACCACTGCCCGAGCCACGCCGAGCCCACGGGGAGCGCCAAGAGCACCGCGGCCCGGACCCCCTCCCTGGCGCATCCAGGTCGCGGGCGGGTTTGGAAGCGCGTGACCTCTTCAGAAAAAAGCTTGGGCCGAAGCGGTAGCAGATGCGCGTACCGCGCGGCCCTCCAACGCTCAGCGATTACTGTTCAAGAACTCCCCATCATCAACATCATCAACATCATCATCATCATCATCATCATCATCATCATCATCATCATCATCATCATCATCATCATCATCATCATCATCATCATCATCATCTTCATCATCATCATCATCATCATCATCATCATCATCATCATCATCATCATCATCATCATCATCATCATCATCATCATCATCATCATCATCATCCATCATCATCATCATCATCATCATCATCACCACCACCATCACCATCACCATCATCATCATGGCCGTCACCGTCACCATCATCGTTATCATCACCATCATCGTCATAGTCGTCGTCACACCCCTCACACGTTTCGTGGCCCCATAGGGAGCTCCACCGAATGTCCAGTGACACAGTCCGCATGGCGGCGCCGCCCCATCTTGGTACACCCCTCACACGTTTAATGGCGCCATAGGGAGCTCCACCTAATGTCCAGTGGCGCAGTCCGCATGGCGGCGCTGCCCTATTTTGGCACACCCCTCACATGTCTCGTGGCCTCATAAGGGAGCTCCGCCCTGCTCCTCCTCTCGCCCCCGCCCTATTTCGGCACATCCATCACACGTTTTGTGGCACCATAAAAAGGGCACTACATTTGGCCCCAGTAGCAGCGCCCGCATGGCGGCCCCGCCCCATTTCGGAACACTCTTCACGCGCTTCGTGGCCCCATAAGGAGATCCACCGAAGGTGATAGTAACAACGACGGTATTCACAACTGCATATGGTTGGGTCCTTCGCCAAGCTAATTTTCCCACACCGGGCGTTTTCGCCCGTCTTCGGGCCCTGGGACCATCACAGATCGATCCGCCTCGAAAGATGACGCTGAACGATGGGGCCCAGGGCGCCGATCGTGATTTGCCGCGATGCTGCAAGTGTTGTGCAGCGTCAGACCTCAGCGAAGGGCGCGGCGACGCAGCAGCGGCACAACGGCCGACCGAGCCGCACCGATCGAACGCAACCGACCACGACGCAGCCGAACCGACCGAACCGTGGACCAGCCGACCGACCGAGCCGCCGTGCGTGCACGACGCGAGGCCCTCTGCCTGTGGGGGCCTCGTGCAGGACGGCCGCAGACGGCTCGACTCTCCGTGCCACCGCGGCCGCAGGGCTCCGCAGACGCTTCGCCTGCCCGCTGCCTGGCCGTGGCTCGGGCCTCGGGGGGGGGGAGGGAGGAGGGAGGAGGGGGGAGGGGGGAGGGAGGAGGGAGGAGGGGGAGGAGGGAGGAGGGAGGAGGAGGGGAGGGGGAGGGGGAGGAGGGAGGAGGGAGGAGGGAGGAGGAGGGGGAGGGGGGGGGGAGGACTCAGGAGGAGGGGGGGGGGCCCGGAGGCGGAGCGACCGGGACAGGTCCGAGCGTGGGACACGAGGGCCGCGGGCCTCCCTTCTCGGGAGCAGCGCGCTCCACCGCAGAGGCCGACCACGGCACCCCCGATGCGGTGGAGGGGGGGATCACCAACAGTTCAACAGCCTCAGTTCAACAGCAGTGCAACAGCAGTGCAACACCAGTTCAACACCAGTTCAGCAACAACAACAACAACAACAACACCAACACCACCAACAACAACAACAACAACAGCAGCAACACCACCACCACCACCACCAACAACAACAACAGCAACAACAACAGCAGCACCAACAACACCACCACCACCACCAACAACAACAACACAACCAACACCAACACCAACACCAACAACACCAGCACCGCCAACAACAACAGCATCAACAACAATAGCAGCAACAACACCACCACCAGGAATAACAGCAGCAACACCAACATCATCAACAACAGCAGACACACCACCACCAACAACAATAACAGCAGTAACCACAACAACAATACGTCAATGCCTTCCTGTGCCCCTCCCCCGAGGGGCACAGGAGTCCGGTGTCCCTATTCCCGACACCGGACTCCTGGGCCTCTCCCCACCCCTGGGGGTAGGAGGCCAGCAGCCAGCAGCCACACCGACCCCTCACACGTTTCGTGGCCCTATAGGGGGCTCCACCCAAGGCCCCAGTGGCTGCGTCCGCATGGTGACTCGTACTCCTCGTCGTCGTCGTCGCCGTCGCCGTCGCCGTCGCCGTCACCGTCTCCGTCGCCGTCGCCGTCGCCGTCGCCGTCGCCGTCGCCGTCGCCGTCGCCGTCGCCGTCGCCGTCGCCGTCGTCGCCGTCGTCGTCGTCGTCGTCGTCGTCGTCGTCATCGTCGCCGTCGGCCGACGCTTCGGCTCGCGCCCATGCGCGGGCGCACGATCGCGCATCGCGCCTCGTGAGGCACGCTCATCTTCGTGCCCAGTCGTCGCCCGATGCGCCACTGCCTTCGCGCCCCCGCGAGAGACCTATACGATCAGGCGAGACCTTCCAGGTGTTTCGCTGGACGCTCTCGTGCACGCCGAGGCTCTGGCGGGGAAGCCCCCCCGGGCGCCGAATGGCGGCTCAAGTGCGCAGCGAGGCGCTCCAGCCCGGAGTACTCGCTCACCTGGCTGGCGGTGCACTGCTGCGAGCGACCCACCCCTGCTGCTGCCGCTGCTGCTGCTGCTGCCGCTCTTTCTTTTCCTGCTCCCGCTGCCAATCTCGCTGATTGCTGCGCTGCTGCTGTCCCTGCAAAGCTTGGTTTCCGCCGGGGCGCGCGCGACGATTCGAAGTCACAGCCCTATGGATTCCAGAAGTCGCTCACCACATGGTCCGCCCAAGAGACCCTGAATCCATGTCTGCCAGCGCTGGCCCCTCGCCAGTGGGTTCTTGCATTCTCGATGTGCGATATTTGCGGTTCGCCCAGTCAGGCGGTCGTGATCTTGCCTCTCTGGCATCACAAACCTAACGCATGGCCACCACCTTCAACTGCCTCGTCGGCACTGCCGGCCAATTTGGTCTTTCGGGTTACGCCCTCGCGTGCGCCTTTTCTGCTGTCTCGTCGCGATCGGTTGGATCGTCGCTGTCCTGCTCGTTTCCGTCCTCGGACGCTGTCGCAATCTTCCCACTCGACACCCGCGCCTGGGTGGCCTATGGGCGGTCGATCCCAGGGGGTCCCGCGCCTGCGGGCCCAGCCGCGCGCGTTGGCTCCGTGCCGCTTGCTTGACTTGCTCCGCCTCGACGCTGCATGTGTGCGTGTGTGCTTGTTTGCTTGTTTGCTTGTTGTGTGTGTGAGAGAGAGAGAGAGAGAGAGAAAGACTTAGTGGCCCCTGGAAACGACAGGGCCGTTTTTTTTACCGGTTTCGTTTTGAATTTTCCGGGGCCCACAAAGGAAGTGTGCGCGTGTTTCTAGTTTTGAAAAGCATAACAGTTTGCAACACACGTGTAGTGAGTGGCACTTGGCAATTTCTTTCAACATCTGCACTTCTTGGGGTTCGCATGTGCATCTGTTTTGTGACCGCCGCCGTCTCGTTCCCCAGGCCGTGTCTTTTTACAACTTTAGGTCGACACTCAAGTCATCACGAGTGATGGCGTACATGTGCATGGGTCTGTGATTTGACATTGCTACGGAGGATCAGTGCTCTGAAAGGCTGCCTACTCTGGAAAGAAATCTCTCGACTTGCCGACATCCCTTGGGACGTCCGACGAACTCCAGCATAGGTTACGTCTTGGGCATTCACGGTTCCAAGGGAGCTCCGAGGACCCACATGGGGAGACCTACCTGGCTGGCATTCTCTACTTCCTTAAGCTCTTCACCTTCGTATGTGTGTGCATGGTGCACTACATGTGGTAAGACTAGATGTGAGGCAAGCTACGTGGCGCAAGCTGTGTGATGCAAGTTATGGAATGCAATTCACATGCTGACTGGCATCCACGCGAGACCACCTCCAGTGCCCGTGCAAATGTCCCACCCGCCATTCTGCAAAACGCGACTGGCGCAACGACGCGATGACCCCTCTCCTGCAAATCCATGACTGCCGGGCGGTCGGCATTTTGCCTCAAATGGAAAACACTCGCGGCAACATCGACCGCCAATCCTGCTCTAAACGGGTCGGAACCGCGGCTTGTCTTCGTCCCCGTTCTTCCTGGGGAGACAGACGGGGTGTTTGTATAAAAGGGGGGCTTTTCCTGGCTGGTGGCTGCTTTCTGGGCGCCTCTCTCGGTGCCAAAGGCGTTTATCTATCATTTGAAGCACCTTGCGGCGAGGCCGAAACCAGCTGCATGCAGCAAATGTCATACCCCGCTTTCCCTATCCCCCCCCCACCTTCGTCCGACCCGATCTTTCCGTCCCCGTTTTCGAGTGTGCTGGACACCTGCTGCAGCGTCGTCCGCGTGCTCTCTCCCAAGGCCCCCCTGCGCGGGCCTCCCACCAGCTCCAGGCCTACGACACAATATCATCATCTCAGGGCACAAGAGAGACGCCGTCGCAGACAGCCTCCCAAAGCCGCGCGGTCGGTGCCGACATCCTGGCTTCGGACCAACGACTCGACGATCATTCTCAGGGCACAAAAAACGATCGCACGCAGCCCGACATCCGTCGACATGATTCCTTGATTCCGCGGCCCTAAAGGTCCCGACCGCGTCCCTGCATGTGGCTAGTTTTTCGACTAGGATCCCTTTCTGATGGTCCTGGGGGCCGAAAGTGGCCTCCGAAGGTCGCGATTATATCGCGACGCGAAAGGGTCAGGGGTCGAGGAAAAATCGCCGCTTCAACAAAGACTACATCGCCAGAGATCTCGGCAGCTGCCGACCGTCACGCAACCTCTGCAGGCACTCTGATTTCACGGCGAAAGACGGCTAAAGAGAAAAGACAACGCTTCCCAAGGCTTTCGTCCTTCTCCTTATCTCCTCCTCCTCCTCCTCCTCCCCCTCCTCCTCCTCCTCCTCCTCCTCCTTCTCCTCCTCCTCCTCCTTCTCCTCCTCCTCCTCCTCCTCCTCCTCCTCCTCCTCCTCCTCCCCTCCTCCTCCTCCTCCTCCCTCCTCCTCCTCCTCCTCCTCCTCCTCTCCTCCCCACCTCCTCCTCCTCCTCCTCCTCCTCCTCCTCCTCCTCCTCCACCGAATTCTCTTACGTTGCATTCCCTCTCCATGGATGTGGCGACGCCTGCGTGTGCCCGACTTCCCGGCGCCGCCCGGGGGGTCGCAGCCCGGCCACCCGTGACACGTTGCCGACGGCCTCGGCCAGCTCGCGCAGGACCACGCCGCAGCCGTCCGGGCCACCTGCCCAGACCTCCTCCTCCTCCTCCTCCTCCCTCCTCCCCTCTCCCCTCCTCCTCCCTCCCTCCCTCCCTCCCTCCCTCCCTCCCTCCCTCCCCTCCCTCCCTCCTTCCTCCTCGCTCCTTCCTCTCGCTCCTTCCTCCTCCTCCTCCTCCTCCTCCTCTCCTCCTCCTCCCTTCCTCCCTCCCTCCCTCCCTCACTCCCTCCCTTCCTCCTCCTCGCTCCTTCCTCTTCGCTCCTTCCTCCTTCCTCCTTCTCCTCCTCCTCCTCCTCCTCCTCCTCCTCCTCCTCCCTGCTCCCTCCTCCCTCCTCCTCCTCCCTCCTCCTCCTCCTCCTCCTCCTCCTCCTCCTCCTCCTCCTCCTAGCCCCCCAGGGCCCGAGAACGGCGACTCGGGGGCGGCTGCGCAGAAGGATGCGCATCCAGACCTCGCGCCCCGCATGGCGCGCCCTCCTCCCGCGGTGAGATGGGCGGCTCCTGGCAGCGTGGCCGATCTGCTGTTTCTGGAGTTCCTTGGCACTTCTGGTGTTTCTGGCCGATCTGCTCGATCTGGTGTTTCTGGAGTTTCTGGCCGATCTGGTGTTTCTGGCCGATATGGTGTTTCTGGAGTTTCTTGGACCTCATGAAATTTATTCACTGGAGCGCTCAGAACTCGAGCGCCGAGGAGCGGCTTTGTGATATTTCGGCTGAATTTCGCTACGTTGATATGATTTGTCTTAGTGGCACAAAGGAGATCTGGAACGCTCAGAACTCGAGCGCCGAGGAGCGACTTTGTGATATTTCGGCTGAACTTCGCTGCGCTGGTATGATCTGTCTGTAGTGGCACAGGAGAGCGGAGAGGAGATCCGGATACAGTTCGAACCGTGCTGCCATTCCATACTGCCTTGCGCTCAGGCTGGGGTCCCGGCCCGCACGCCAACAAGAGTCGTGGCCGCATCATTCTTCTTCGCCGTCGTGTCTTCCGTGCCCCCCATTTGGTGGACACTCCTCCTGTGCCTGCGAAGCTGAGAGGTCGCGTCGCTTTGACACGCCTTCGGAGCGGAAGGTTTGACATCCTCGTGCCCATAGCGCACTTCCCCCCGCGACCGTCGGGCCGACGGCAGGCGACGGAGTCCGCGCTCGCGGGCACGCTGCGCCACGAATGCAGGGCCACTGTTGACGCCCTCTGCGACTGGATCGAGAAGACACTGACCTGGGCGCGAGGGCGGTCCGCAGTCTTCTTCGGCTTCGACCTGAACGACGGCTTCGGCCCTAGGCGTCGTGGGCAGCAATCTACGAGGAGGCCATCTCCGACGCGCTCGGCCCGCACGGCCGCCAGGTGCAGCATTGCGCCGCCGACAAGCTGCTCGAGATCCTCTGGCGCTTCGCCATGCGCGTCGTCACCAGCGACTTCGACATTGGCCCAACCTTCCACGGCGTGGGGAGCGCCTCCCACATCGACCACGTGGCCATCTTCTCGTGGCAGGCGCCCTCGGCGCGGGCGGTCCTGCCGCTCAAGAGCGCCAACTCGCGCCTGAAGCTGATCCCGCGCCCTGGCCTTCAGGATTACGTTCTCGCGCGGCCCAGGATTGACTGGGACTTCCATCGCCTCGATCAGGCACTTCAGAACGGCACTGGCGCGGCGGCTTCCGCCCGCGAGCTGGAGGAGGCCTTCGCCCAGCACCCCGACTATTTCCACGAGCTGTACGACGCCAGCGCCTCCGACGCCGCGCGGGTGCGCTGGATGGGGCAGCTGTCCACCGCAGCGCAGCAGCACTTCGCGGGCCGAGCACCAGTTCATTCACGCGTTCAACGGCTTCGCGCCGAGCGGCTTCAGCTCTTGGCGGACCGCCGCGATCTCCGAAGAGGCTGGCGGGGACTCGACCGAGATGGCGCTCGCCTTGGCACGGGCGCCGCGACGCCTGCGCGCCCGTCGACGCGCGCGAGTGGGCGCCCAGGTGGAGATGCTCGTCGCCGACGTGTACGAGGCTTGGCAGAAGCGGCCCTTCGCGGAGGTGTGGCGCCTGAGCCACCAGTTCGCTGCCCAGTGCAAAGGCCCCCGCAGGCGGCGCTGCACAGTCTGGGACAGCCTCGCCCCCGGGCGCGCCGAGATCGCGCGGCACTTCGCCCAGACTGGCGTCGAGGGCGGCCTGGGCGCGATCCCGATCGACTTCGAGAAGTTTCGCCAACAACACTTGGAGGCGCTTCCGCGGGCTCCGATGCACGCGCGCGGCCGCCCGGACCTCGGCCGCGAGGACTTCAACAACCTGATCGGTGTCATCTCGAAGGCTCTTCGGCGTCGGCACTGCCTCACAGTGTCCCCACGGGGCTACTTCGACTCGCACTGGAGCCATGGGGTCGGTATGATGGCCGACGGCGACGCCGCCCACGCCGCCCTGGCGACGAAGCTGTGGCGGATGATGAACCTCCCCGAGGCAGTGTAAATGTTTGCCCCTCTCTTCCCCGAGGCGTGCCACGCGCCGCTCTCCAACCGCGGCATGGTCTTGCTGGAGATCCTCGCGGGCTCGGCTGCGAGATCGAGGAGCTCGACCAGCCCGTGACCGAGCGGGCCCTGCAGTGTCGTGGGCCAGGCAGGGGCCCGCGCGCTGAGCCACGACTGCGGTCGTCGGGAGGAGGAGGACAATGCAGAGGATGGTGATGATGCTGATGCTGCTGCTGATGATGATGATGATGCTGATGACGATGATGACGATGATGATGATGACGAGGAGGAGGAGGAGGAGGCGGATGGGCGGGAGAAAAAGAAAAGGACGGGCAGGAGGAGCATGGGGAGGATGTAGAGGAGGATAAAGGCAAAGCGCAAGAATATTGGAGGAGGGGAGGAGGATGGGCAGCATGAGGAAGAGGACCCGACTCGATTCGAGCCTATGCCAATACAAGAGCGCATATGTGAACCTCATCCAAAAAGCTTACATACACTTTCCTTATGGTGCGTCCCGAAGACACCTACTATGAAACCTGGACATCAGTCGTGCGAAGGGTTAGGAGGTGGAGGAGGTTAAGGATGAGGATGAAGGACAGGAATACAACAGGAGAAGAGAGGAAAAGGACGAGGAAGAGGAGGAGGAGGCGGAGGAGGATGAGGAAGAGGAGGCGGAGAGGATGGAGGAACATGACGACGATGACGATGACGACGACGAGGACGAGGACGATGACGCCGAGACGACGCCGACGATGACGGTCACGATGCTGTTGATGTTGATGTTGATGATGCTGCTGTTGATGATGATGCTGCTGATGATGATGATGCTGATGATGGTGCTGATGCTGATGCTACTGATGATGCTGCTGCTGCTGACGATGGTGATTAGGATGATGGTGTTTCTGATGATGACGATGCTGATGATGATGATGATGATGATGATGATGATGGTGCTGATGATGATGATGCTGATGATGATGATGACGACTGTTCTAATACTGCTGCTGATGCCGATGCTGTCGCTGATGATGATAATGATGATGATGAGGAGGAGGGTGAGGAGGAGGAGGCGGCGGAGAAGAGACTATGCATACGAGGACGGGAGCATGATGATGAGCAGTAGAAGGAGGAATAGGTTGAGGACGAGAGACGCGGAAGGAGGAAGCGGAAGAGGAAGAAGAGGGGGACAAGGAATATGATGATGATGGTGAGGAGGATGAGGAGGAGCATTATGTTGAGCAGGAGGAAGCGAGGTGCAGGACGAGGCCGCGGATGAGAAGGATGAGGATGAGGATGAGGATCAGGAGGAGGAGGAAGAGGAGGAGGAGGAGGAAGAACCGGAGCCCACGCCCACCACACGCACACCCGGGCTGCGCGGCCATCGCCGCGGCGCAGGTCCGCCGCAGCGCCCGCAGCATGCTGGACAGGTCCGTCGACAGCAGGTCGCACCGCCGGCAGTTTGGAGAGTCCTGCAGCCAGACGCGGGAGGAACGGGGATCCAGATCTCCGACGATGTGAATTTTCCAACCGCCCCATGGAAGTGTTCGGGATTTCAGGGGCCGCGGAGCGCAGAAGCCGTAGCGGCGGATGCCTGGGGGGACGAGAAATGACGGACAGCGGCAGCCCTGCAGACGAAGACAGCGGACTCGGGAGGGGCGAACGCTCTGGAGTGAGTGCCGCGGTGCTGGTCGAGGAGCGAACGCTCTGGAGCACAAGTCGGCTCGCTGGCTCGGTTATCCCGCCGCCTGCTCCGGCCATGAAGAGCCAGAACCGTCCCATGGGAAGCGCAAAGACATACGTGTTCTCCTTGGGGGCGCGCGTCCGACCTCAACGTATAGTATACCCATCTTGTAGTATATCGTTCCCCGAGCGGTGTGGCCAGAAAGCGCCCGCCAAGACGCATATACCAGAAGATTTCTCGGTGCGCGCGTCGCCCCTGGGGGGGGGCGATGCACATATAGTACAAGTATGTTGGGGTGACGCCGAGCCCAAGGCCTCGACCCGCCCCGTCCTGGCGGTGTGCGCAGGCGGGTGGCGTAAGAGAGGCGGCCTTCCCAGCGGGCGGGGCGGCCTCTCTCCGAAGACTGGCGGGTCTCCTTTGAGAAGCCCTCCCGGCTTCGGCGAAGCACGCCTGGAAGCCTTCGGGCCCTTCTGAGCAGGCCCCTGCCTTTTGAGAGTCCCCCCCCCACCTGCTCACCAGGGCCCCCCCCCTCGCGCCCCCCCCCCCCCCTTGTGCTTGTGCTTGCGCCGCCGGGGCGCAATCGTTGGGCCTTCCCTCGCGCCGCCCCCCCCGCCCCCCTCGTGCTTGTGCCTGCGCCGCCCAAGCGCAGTCGCTGGGCCTTCGGCGGGCCTTCGGCGGCCTTCGGCGACCCTCTGGGGGCCTCTCGCTGGCCCTCGGAGGCACTCCTGCGCGGGCGGCGTGGCCGCGGAGAGGGTCCAGGCTCGAGGCCCTCGGGCGTGCGCCGCCCTGTCTGGGTCTCCGTCGAGCGGTCGCGTCGCCGCGGCTGGAGCCGCGTCGAAATCTTCGCCACTCCGCACCCGAAGAAGAGGTCCGGGAACTGGGAGTTTGAAGCGGCAGAGCCAGCGCTGAGACCAAGATCTCCAGCACGTCTCCGACGCAACACGATGGGTTTTGTGATTCTGATGTGTCTTCGTCCGGATAGGAGGCCCGACGCCGCGAATCAAAGTGACCGCTGCAAACTTTCACAGCGAGGTTGAAGCGTAACCGCTCTTCACTCACTAAATCGCTGCAAGGTTGTATGGGAAATGTGCGCGGCGCTGAGACGATAACAACATTTGAGAATCGCCCGCCCTCCAGCCGCGAGCTGTTGCGAGTTGTGTGGAACTAGTGCGCGCGACGCTGGAGCGAAAACCACATTCTGCAAACCACCCGCTCTCCAACCGTGAAGTTGTCGCATTAAAGAAGCGAGTCAACGCGGCGCTGAAGCGAGGACCATACTTTGAAAACGGCCCGCCTTGCATCCGTGAAACTGCTGCGACATGCGAATTTCCAGATCGCACATGATGAGGCAATCTGAGGCGAAACGCACGGCCCGCCCTTCCGACACTTCTGGTGGTGTGACAGGGAAGAACCACCATTTAAGGACAGGGGATGGAGGAGAAGGAGGAGGAGGAAGAGGAGGTGGAGGAGGAGGAGAAGGAGGAGGAGGAGGAGGAGGAGGAAGGAGAACGAAGACGAGGATGCGGAGGAGGAGGAAGAAGAAAGGGCGGAGGAGGAGGAGGAGGAGAAGGAGGAGGAGGAGCAGGAGGAGGAGGAGGAGGAGGAGGAGGAGCAGGAGCAGGAGGAGGAGGAGGAGGAGGAGGAGGAGGAGGAGGAGGAGGGAGGAGGAGGAGGAGGAGGAGGAGGAGGAGGAGGAGGAGGAGGAGGAGGAGGGTGAGGAGGCGCAGGACGAGGAGGAGGGAGGCAGGAGGAGGAGGAGGGGGAGGAGAGGGACAACCAAGACGAGGATGCGGAGGGGAGGAGGAGGAGGCGGAAGAGGAGGAGAAGAAGGAAACGGAGGAGGGAGGAGGAGGAGGAGAGAAGAGGGAGGAGGAGGAAAAAGGAAGAAAGGAAGCAGAAGAGGAGGAGGAGGAGGAGGAGGAGGGAGGAGGGGGAGTACGTAGGAGGAGGAGAAGGGCGAGGACGAGGAGGAGGAAGAGCAGGACGAGGAGGAGGAGGATGAGCAGGAGGAGGGAAGGAGGAGGAGGAGGGAGGAGAAGGAGGAGGAGGAGGAGGAGGAGGAGGAGGAACAGAAGCAGGAACAGCAAACCTCTTGGCCCTAACGCAGGGCACTGGCGGAGGGGCCTTCGTGAGCGACAGCAGCTGGGTCAGCTCCGCGGCCTCCTGCGACCGGCGCGCCTGGGACAGCCCGAGGCCTTCCAGCCTCGGGGGTGCCGCGGGGTTTCGGCGACCGGCGCGCCCAAGCCGCGGATGAGGGAGGTAGGGAGAGAGGAAAGAGGAGGGAGGAGAGAGGGGGAGGGAGGCAGGAGGGAGGGAGGGGGAAACGGAGGGAGCAAATGGAGGAGGGGGGGCAGGAGGGAGGGAGGGAGGGGGGCGGCGGGAGGAGGAGGAGGAGGAGGAGGAGGAGGAGGAGGAGGAGGAGGAGGAGGAGGAAGAGGAGGAGGAGGAGGAGGAGGAGGAGGAGGAGGACGAGGAGGAGGGGCGGCGGAGGAGTGACGGAGGAGGAAGGGACACGCAGGGGGAATGTTGTCGGGAAGGGGTCTGATGGATCTGATGATCTGAAGGATCTGATGAGTCCAGCCATTCATGAGCTGCTGGCGCAGAAGCCAAGGCACCCCCTCTGCGGGAGCACCAGGGCCGAGCCCCATGGCCCAGCCCCTGCAAAAATCACGCACGCGGCAAGCCGCTCAGCTGCGCCGCGGGCTCGCCAGGGCGCCGAGCCTATGCCCAGCGCCCGCAAAACTGAGCGGGCCGCGCTGGCGTCCGAGCTTCCGCTCGAAAGCAAGATTTTCGGCGCCAAACTCAGGAAACCAAGCCAAGGCCCGCCAACCGAAGCCAGCTCAACACCCCGCCAGTCGGGCCGTGAACGCCCCAAAACAAGTGGGACAAGTTATTTGAAACAATTGTCTCTGGGGCTCCGTCTAAGAAGTGATGGTCCAGACAGGGTGCGGGCAAACCCGCGGGTCTGGAGAAACACAGACCGCCCGAGCCCTCAGTGCGTCTGGGCGAGCTCGAGCTTGTGCAGGTACGCCTTGATGTCCGCCAGCGCGCTGCGCTTGGCCTCCGGCGAGCTGGCAGCGTGGCGCTTGTCCATGATGCGCCGGCACTCGTGCAAATCAGCACGCGAGGCTACCAGCGAATTGCCCCCCCGCCGCAGCAAGGAGCGGGAAGGAGGGAAGGGCTGGCAGCTACTGCGCCTTTCCCGTGACATACGGCTCACGGTCCTTCTGACTTCCGTCCGAGAAGTCATGGTTGCCGTCGCGCGCGAGATTCACCTGCGGATCGCCTGGAATCGCTCGAGACGCTCCAAATCCGCCTCCGCGCTGGCCATATCCTTCTCGGCGTTCTTGATGAGGGCCTGCACACTGCTCTGCGCCTCCACTGAGCCCTTCTGGCGGGCAGGCTGAAGCGACTCGATCAACTCCAACAAAATGACCTTGGTCTCCTTCGCCTTGCTGGCCATCGCGTTGGTGCCCTCCCGCGTGGTCTTCTCCACCGCCGCCTGCGCATTGGGCTTCACAACTGTAGCCTGCTTCTTGTGGAGGCTCTTCTTGAACTTGTTGAGGAACTTGGCCTTCCGAGCTCTCAGGGTCGTCCTCGCTGGGCAAATCGAAAAACTCGCACCGGTGGCCGCCGCCAGCTGCCTTCTGCAGGCCCTCTGGCGCTCGAAGCCCTCCTTGTTGATTATGCGCATGGCTGTCTCCTGCTGCTTCAGGACGGGCGACGGCGGCGGCGTGCGGCAGAAAGGACACTGCACCCTGAAGCCGAAGTTCACCACCTTTTTTCCCAGCCTCTTGGCGCAGTCCTCGCACCTCCACTTGGGGGTCTTGCAGCCCCACAGCTTCCACTCCTGAGGCCTGTCGATGTGGCCCTGGAGGTTCACGAAGGGGATCGTCTTGGCGAGCGGTCTTCTTCTTCTGCTTGTTCTTCTTCTTGACGACCTTCACCGTTCCCACAGCCTGCACGGGCGACTCCGCGCGCCGCCACGGGATCTTCTGGGACTCAGCGGGGGCGGGGGCTTCGGCAGCCACAGATCCCCCACCTTCACTCGCCTGGGCGGCGACTTCCAGTGGTGGCCCCGCTGGTACTCCAGGCTGGGCTGCGAGCCCGCCGCCTATGACATCTATGTCGACCACCTGCACCTCGAGCGCGCCGACGGGGTGTTCCCGCAAATGCTGCTTCTCGAAGGCCCCCAACACACTGCCGATGTTGCCCTCGGCGAGCAAGCGGTACGACAGCAGGAGCCTCATGCCGCCTTCATGGCTCCGACGGGCTAGAGCCCCTTTCAAGTGCGCCCCACCGACCCTCTCTTAAATCTCTCGAAGGAAAAAAAGTTCTGGGGGGAGAGGAGGAGGAGGAGGAGGAGGAGGAGGAGGAGGAGGAATAGGAATAGGAGGAGGAGGAGAAGGGGAGGAGGAGGAGGAGGAGGAGGAGGAGGAGGAGGAGGAGGAGGAGGAGAAGGAGGAGAAGGGGGAGGGGGAGGAGAAGGAGGAGGAGGAGGAGGAGGAGGAGGAGGAAAAGGAGGCGAGCGTACATCGGAGTCCAAGGCCAAGCCTCGCCTGCAGGCGCCGGAGGGGCGCACCAAGGTCTGCAGTGCTTCTCCGAGCTTGGACCGACGTCGGAAGCGACATCGTCGGGCGCAGCTGCTGCGGGGATATGGGCCCCGCAGCGAGCATTCCCCTGGGCACGCCTGCCCTGAGAAGTGGACCCTTGGTGCTGCAGTCATCTCAACACGGACGGCCAAGGGTGTCTCGCACCCTGGCCTCGCATCCTCGATGCTGGCCAGAACGGGCCAGGTCAAAACCTCGTCGCATCGCCTCGAGACGACGGCGAACCACAAACAACGCCCTGCCGCTTCCAGGGTGCAGTACGTGTGCGCGGCGCACACGGCTGCCGACGCAGGTGGGGCACCCGGCGAGACAGGGCAGGCAACAAAAAAAAACAACGGGCTGGTGGGCGCAGGGCGGCGGCAGGAGGCTGGGTCGGGGAAGGGCGCAGGGGCGGACCAGGCGACAGCGAAAGGAATGCTGTTGCTTGAAACCTCCCCTCCAATTATGTTGTGCCCGTCCTACTGAAGGGCCGCATCCCAGAAATAATTTCGAGCACCCAGAAAAGTGTCAAAAGAGTATCGAAACAGTGTCGGTCGAGTGTCTCCCAGGGCCCAGCACGTGCAAACCCTTGAGCTTCGGTACTTTTTGGGGGCGCTCGAAATTCTTCCTGGTGATCAAGGCTAAAGTAGGTTGGAGCATCATAACCCTCCAAGTCCCCTCAGAGCCTCAAAACAACTTCACTGCGTGAAATGCCCCCATTTGAAGAAGACCCCCCCTAAGACTGCTCAATTTTGCCAAACCGCCGTGCCTGGGACTCCAGCTCTGCAAATCAACGACATTGCTGGGTCCTGACAACCCTAGATCGCGCCACAATGAAATGCCGGAAACTTCTGCCATATAAATCCTGGAAAATGTTGCAAGCTTTTGAGACGAATGTGCGAGATGCTACAAGGGCGAGGGCCATATTGTGAAAACCAGCCGCCCTCCATCCTTGAAGCTGCTGCGAAGAACAAGTGTCAGGAGCTTGGGTGGAGAGCAAAGGCCAGGCGAAACGCCAGGCCCGCCCTACCGACACGTCTGGGGGTGGGACAAGGAATGATTGTTTTTATAAGGAAAGAGATCAAGGAATCTGTCCGCTGAGGGGAACGACGTGCGGCCAGTGACTGCGAAGCGCGCCATGTCCAACACATAGGAGTATTCCCTGAACCGGCGCTGCCCCAGCGTGCTGCAACGCATCCCGCACTTCAGACCGACGAACCTGCACGTGCGCCGGGAAGGGAGTAGAGGACAGGAGGGAGCACAAACGATCTGGACAGTGGTTCCTGAGCTCGGCTCCAGCGGAACCAGGAGCTCAAGGCAGCTGACAAGCGGTGACAGCCCGACCTCGAAATCCCCAAAGGCCTCGCCGCACGGCCCGCCGCCGCGAGGCCCCGAGGCCTCGGAGGCCCCAGCCGCCCCGAGGCACCCTCGGCGGATGGCGCAGGCCCCGACTCCGCCGATGTGGTTCTGTCGACTCGCGGCCCCAGGAGCCCCCGACCCCCGATATCCTTTCCCAGGGGGGTAGCCTTGCGTCCTGGACCCGCTTCGGATGGCCCTGGGCCCTGGGACCCGATGGCGGGCGTCCGCGGGACGAGATCGAGGAACCGAATTATCCCAGTGCGACCCTACCTAGGCGTTGGAGCCCCTAGGAAAGCAGCATAGGACCCCGATAGGTCCGCCTGGACCCCGATAGGTCCGCCTGGAGGATCCTCAAGAACCAGTCCGAGTCCAGTAGGGCCCCCCCTAGCACGAGTAGAACTCCAAGACGACCCCGACGATGCTACCTGTGAGCCCGTAGGTGTGCTATGCTATGCCATGCTATGCTTTGCTGCGCTATGCTATGCTATGATATGCTATGCCATGCTATGCTATGCTATGCTATGCTATGCTGCGCTATGCTGCGCTATGCTATGCTAGGGTATGCTAGGCTGCGCTATGTTATGCTAGGCTATGCTAGGCTAAGCTAAGCTAAGCTGAGATGAGATCAGCTAAGGTAAGCTAAGCTAAGCTAGACTTACCTAAGCTAAGCTACGATGAGGTAAGCTAAGCTAAACCAAGATGAGATAAGCCAAGCTAAGCTAAGCTCAGCTAAGCCCAGCTAAGACAAGCTAAGCTAAGCTAGGCGAATATGAGATAAGCTAAGCAAAGCTAAGCTAAGTTAGGCTAGGCTACGCTCAGCTAAGCTAAGCTAAGCTAAGCTTAGCTGAGCTAAGCTAAGCTAAGATAAGCTAAGCTATGCTAAGCTAGGGGAACCCAGGGGGCGCAACTGGGGGAACCGCGGGGCGGGGACTGGGGGAACCGCCCGGGGCGGCCTACACTGCCCGGCCCCTTTAAGCAAACAGAGTAAGCACCCTCTAGGCAGAGCCTAGGTAGGGAATAATTATCCCAGTGCGACCCTATCTAGGAGTTGGAGCCCCTAGGAAAGCAGCACTAGTAGTAACAGTGAAGCTAAGCTAAAGCTAAACTAAAGCTAAGCTAAAGCTAAGCTAAAGCTAAGCTCAAGCTAAGCTACATATAAGCTCAAGCTAAGCTAAAGCTAGCTAAAGCTAAGCTAAAGCTAAGCTAAATATAAGCTATATCTAAGCTGCAGCTAAGCTACAGCTAAGCTAAATCTAAGCTACATATAAGCTAAATCTAAATTAAAGCTAAGTTACCGCTAAGCTAAAGCTAAAGTTAAAGCTAACTCTAAAGCTAAAGCTACAGCTCCCAGGGGACTGGGGGAACCGCTCCCACGGGACTGGGGGAACCGCCCGGGGCGGCCTACACTGCCCGGCCCCTTTAAGCAATAGGCAGAGCCTAGGTATGGGAAAAATGGTGTCCCAGAATCGTGTGGCCACCGCGATTTCCCACCGAGCCAAAACTGCGACGACGCGATTTTCTTACAACTGAGCATCGTTTCACCGATCCCCATCCTTAGGTCGGGCATGTCCACCTACAGGCGGATTTTGGGCGAACAATGAAAAAGACTCAAACAATGCTCAAACATGGTCAAACAGTACTCGAGACATCGTCCCCAGACTAATTTTTGACCATCTTTGAATATTCCTCCGGTGGAGGGACATGCCCGACTTAACCCTATCCCCTCGGGTGCGGCAGCGGCTTCAATGGCAGACTCACCCACCTAGGTGGGGATATATGCTGTTCCCTTTGGGCTTCGGGGGGCGATCCCTGCCCGGCGAGGTGAGTTGGAGGTGCTGAGAAGCCATGGCCCAGTGGGGACAGGGACTGGTTCGACGATGCTGAACAGCGCGGGCCTTTGGGCCTCGACCACTTCCCTGGGACTGCCTCTCCACCCCGAACCGTTTGGTTCACTGATGGTCCCGAGGCCCGCCGAGAGGACCCAGAGGGCGAGCACGGCCGACAACTTGCCGTTGTGGTTTGGCCACGACGCGAGGAGGTCTGGCCTTCGACCTGCACCCTCCGCACCTTCCGCGCGGCGGGTGCCACGCTGCCGCGGCCGCTGCTGCGGACGCAGCGGCGGGCGCCGCGGCCGCATCGCGGCGGCACCTTCCGCAAGGGTGGTGCGGAAGGTACCTATCCTTGGCATCGCTCGGACGTGTGCGTTTTTGGAGGGCGAGGGCCATCGCGGAACATGCTGGGACCATCTTGCGAAGAATACACACACGACATCGAAAAACGCACGGGGGGGCGTCCAAGCGGGGGGCGTCCGAGGCATGTGCGCGGACGAGGGGGCGGAGGAGGAGGAGGAGGAGGAGGAGGAGGAGGAGGAGGAGGAGGAGGAGGAGAGGGCTGAGGAGGAGGAGAGGGTGAGGAGGAGGAGGAGGAGGAAGCGGAAGGAGAGGAGGAGGGAGGAGGAGGAGGAGGAGGAGGAGGAGGAGGAGGAGGAGGAGGAATGGACGTCCGAGCGATGGCGAGGGTCGAGGGGAGGACTCGCCCCGACGGCGTGGCCACCGCGCCGCCCGGGCACCGTCGCACGCCGGCCGCGAGGAGGCCACGAGGCGCGCGCCCGGCGGCGCGCGCTCGGCGGCGCTCTGAGCCGCCGGCCGCAGCCGCGCGAGGCGGACGGCCTCGCGGAGCCTCTCCTCGGCCGAGGGGGGGGGGGGAGAAGGAGGAGGGGAAAGGAGGAGGGGGAAAGGGGAGGGAGGAGGGGGAGGGGGATGGGGGAGGAGGAGGGGGAGTGGGAGGAGGTAGGAGGAGGAGGAGGAGGAGGAGGAGGAGGAGGAGGAGGATGAGGAGGAGGAGGAGGAGGAGGAGGACGAAAGGGTAGGAGAGGGAGGAGGAGGAGGAGGAGGAGAAGGAGGAGGAGGAGGAGGAAGGAGGAGGAGGAAGAAGGAGTTTAGGAGGATGGGGGAGAAGGGGAGGAGGAGTGAGGAGGAGGAGGCGGAGGAGGAGGAGGAGGATGGAGGAGGACGAGGAGGAGGAGGGGGGGGGAGGAGGAGGAGGGGGAGGAGGAGGAGGGGGAGGAGGAGGAGGAGGAGGAGGAGGAGGAGCAGGAGGAGGAGAAGGCGGAGGAGGAGGTCAGCCTCAAGATGATGACGCGCACGACAGAGTTACTCACGAACGCGATCACTACAGTTACTGATACGCAGCCGAGTATCACCGACATCTTATGTGCGAGAGCGACTACCATAAGCAGCACGCACGAGCACAGGGGGCTACTACTACTACTACTACTACTACTACTACTACTACTACTACTACTACTACTACTACTACTACTACTACTACTACTACTACTACTACTACTACTCACTACTACTACTACTACTACTACTACTACTACTACTACTACTACTACTACTACTACTACTACTACTACTACTACTACTACTACTACTACTACTCTGTAAAACTAAATACTGTGCGTACGCCAACTACGTGGACGTTTATGGCATCGACGAGGATGAGATCGAGACTGGGAATACATGGTTGATGGCCAACACAACCACAATAAGCTCAACACGAGAGAACGCTTGCAGCCACAGCGCCTCGCGCCGAAGGGTGGTTGCAGCATGATGGACTTCCGCAGTGGCGCTGGCGCCGAAGGGCGGAGGGCCACTTGACTCAGAAAACCACACTGGCACCGATGTGGGGTGCCAGGGCGCCGTGTCTCGGCCCTCGGCCCGTGCCCATACGAGGGGCTCCCGAAGAGGCTCTACAGCAAGTCGCTGGTGGAGCTAGACGGCGCCACCTCGTACGAGGGCTGCTGGGTCGGGGACACCCCCATCGGCGGCGAGCGTGCCGACCCCTCAAGCCATGAGGGGTGCTGGCGGCCGCCGAGGGGGAAAGCGACCGACATCGACTTCTAAGATCTGGCCAGGGCGGCCGCGGCCGCGGCCGCGGCTTCGAGGCGTCGGAGATCTCCCCTTTCCCTCCCAGGGCCCTGGAGGCCCCTCCCTCTCCTCCTCTGCTGATCTCCTGGAGGCCGGTGGCCACCCGCCCTGCTGCCCTGCGGGCCCCTCGTCCCCCTCTCGTGCCTCCTGGGCCCCTGGCCGTGGGGCTCTCCCTTTCCTTCTGGGGCCCGTTGGACTGCATGTGCATGCGAGCCTTGGCTCCCCCTGCCATTATGTCGGGCCTGTCCCCCCTACAGGGGGATGTTCGATGAAAAATAAGACATACCCCAAACATACCCCAAAAGGGTGAGACAATACTCAAAACATACTCCACTCCCCAGACTACGTTTGGATGATTTTTCTGATTTTTTGGGGGTATGTTCTATGTTTCGTCGGAAATCCCCCTGTATGGGGGACAGGCCCGACTTAACCCTACCATCACCCCAGCTTCGCTTTCGCGCGCAGGAGGTCGGCCTCCCCTATTGGGCTGGTGGTGGCGGGGCCTTATAGGACCCGTGGTCTATAGGGTGGGAGCCTGCTGGGCTTGCGCTCCGCTCTCCCTCGGCCCCTTGGGGGGATTTCACCAAACCTTGGCGCCCGTGCTGCTAGAGACCGCGTGTTTCTGCCAGCAGCTAGCGAGTGCCGCACCATGCTGACCGTCTCCTCGGCGAACCAGAGCGCAATCCCAAAACATCCGGCCCCTTGGCCTCGTGGCTCCCGCCGTTCCTTCGCCCCGAGGTCCCCTGAGGCTGCCCTCC